CAAAAAAAAAAAAAAAACAAAAAAAAAACTGAAAAACATATATGTTATGCAGAAAAATAAACTGAACAACATGTGCCTCAGCGTTACATCCAAATTCTTTGGCAAATTTGAAATAAAAATAAAATATGGAAAACAAATAATAATAAGAAAAATAAGAAAAAATGAAGAGAGAATTAAAATTAGTGCCTGGGCGGGCACGTTTTAAACATCGCCATCTTTGGCGAATTTTCGTTTTTTTTTGGCTTAGTCAAATGCCCTCAAAATTTATAGATCTGTGTCTCAAATGATTCAAAAATCATAATTCAAAAAAAAAAAATAATAAAATAATAAAATTGTTCAGGCCCTGAAATAAAGTGAAAACAAAAAGTGAAAAGAGAAAAAAAACAAAATAGTCAGTGGCCGAGCACGTTTTGACACTGCCATCTTTGGCGATTTTTCATTTATTTTTGGCTTAGCAAAATGCCTTCACAATTTATAGGCATGTACCTCACATCATAGAGAACTGACCAAAAAACATTCAAAAAAAAAAAAACTTTTTGGCCCCTAAATAGTTTTTGGCGGGGGCTGAACCCCTTCAGGTTTGGACCCCCACGGGACCCGAACGCCTGAACGTACGGAGGTCGGCCTGGGGGACTCCTTAAGTACGGGCTGTGAGCGGGTAAGAGTACCAGCGGGGGTTACGTGCTGACTACAGAGCGAAGTGTACGAGAATTGCCTGGTCCGTGCGTGTTGTGTGTGGTGTGTGTTGAGTTGGACACTACAGCCTTGCAGGGGTGGGGTGGATATCACGACTGGTACGATTCCACTTTTCGAACACCGTGTCCTGGCTGTAGTGGTTAAGAGACTTGGCTCTTGAGGCCGAAGTCGCCGGTTCGAATCTGTGCTTGCACGGAGGAGGACTTAGGCCCATATGTACGGAATCCATACTACTGTGGAAGCGCCCGTGAACCGACGGGCATTGATAAGTCCCGTCTGTGTGAGCGGGTAAGGGTACCAGCGGGGGTTACGTGCTGACTACAGAGCGAAGTGTACGAGAATTGCCGTGTCCGTGGGTGTTGTGTGTGGTGTGTGTTGAGTTGGACACTACAGCCTTGCAGGGGGGTGGGGTGGATATCATCCACTTTTCGAACACCGTGTCCTGGCTGTAGTGGTTAAGAGACTTGGCTCTTGAGGCCGAAGTCGCCGGTTTGAATCTGTGCTTGCACGGAGGAGGACTTAGGCCCAGATGTACGGAATCCATACTACTGGTAACTATATATATATATAATATATATATACTGTTTGTGACGATATATTGAAAGCCATGCAGGGGATTATTCCGGCAGGGAAATGTAAGAGGAGAAGCTGCAGGAGGACATGCGCAGAATTACAAAATTCAGATATGGTTGTGAATTTGAAAACTTTTTTTTTTGTTTTGTTGTGCATCAATTTTTTTCTCTCTCTCAGGCTGTCCCTTCTTTTTTTCTCCTATTTTTCTGCATCAAGCTTTTTTGTTTTGCTTGCGATTTTCATTGGCCATCACAAACGTCGTGATGTGGCTGGAGAGGGGTGTTGCTGATGACACTCAACTTTTTTGGTGTTTGTCGGTTTCTTTGGCGTTCTGTTGGGTTTCCTTTTGTGGAATGCCAGCCACCACGCATGATTCTGGTGTGTTCAGTTTCTTTGCAGATCACCGGCCTTGTAATGGCTTCGAGGAGGCATTGATGAGATACAAACAGATAGCGCCATATGTGCGCCTTGCAGGTGAATATTGTTTTTTTTTTCCAACTTTTTTAAACTTTTTCTTGCACACTGACTGAAGGATGGATGCGCTTCCTTGTCTTTTTTTTTTTTTTTTTTTTTTTCCCTGCGGGCATTGGAGGGGAGCCCTGATGATGGTAGATGAATGTGCTTCTTAACTAGGCTGTTCATCCAGGTGCCAGGAGCACCCAACTTGTGCCCGGATACATGCCCGGATGGCTAGCCGGGCGTGAACCCCAGGCAGGGTTCCGGGCAACACAAGCATAAAAAAAAGAAAAAGAAAAAAAAATGATAAAAATCCAGAAAAAACTAGGCTACCAGAGTGGCCGGGGACCACTTGCCCGGCCAGGCCAGGGTCCTCTGGTTGGCCCGTAGGGATCGTAGATTTTGCGGGATCTCATGGTCAATTCCCAGGATCCAGAACAACTTTAAGCTGTCTGTTAGAAATCTGATTTTGGCAGAATATAGGAAGAAGAAAGCAGGGACTCCCTTGATAGATCTGGCTCAGTCCTCCTTTTTGAAAGCCTGGGCCTCAGAATACAAGTGGGTTTCACTCAGTGAAAACAATCGGGTAATTTTTTCTCGTTACTTGTGGGATGAAAAGGACAACTTGGTTTTCCTGCAAGACACGTTGGCAGTATGTTTTTGATGTACACTCATGATATAAGGGACGCTGGACCCGTTTTCCAGCAGGTGCAGTTCCCCACCAATAGAACGGAGTAATTAAAAAAAAAAACAAAAAAAACAGAAAATAAATAAATAAATAAATAAACAAATAAAATAAAATAAAATAGTTTCTTAAACGTTTTTAATATTATTTTGTATTTCAAATTTGGTAAAGAATTTCGATTTGACCCTGTATGGTGTGACTCAGCCGCGGTGGGGTTAATCCGGGCCGAAGAGCCTGGTTCATCCCTGCAGGCCGTGGTTATTGATGTGAGGGACGCTGGGCCCATTTCCCAGCCTGTGATGATATTATATATCCCCCATTTTTTGGAAAAAAAAATAAAAAATTGTTCAGTTTATTTTTCTGAATAACAATTTTTTTTTAGAACTTTAAACTTTTGGATTTTTTTTTTTTTTTTTTTTTTTTGCTGGAACCTTGTATGGTCCTTGCACGGCCAGGTAGCCCGGGCAAACAAGCTGGCCCGGGCAACCCGGCTGGTAGCCTATAGAAAAAAAAAAATGTTGTGTAGAATTGCAATACAAACGACTTTTGACTGAGGGTGACATCAAGATTTTTTTTTTTTTTTTTTTGAACAACCCCGGGTTGATGCTAGAGGAGCTGATAAGAGCAGACCCCTCGAGCACTTCCCCAAGAGGCTCCATCTATTGGTGGGGAGCTTCACCTGCTGGAAACCGGGTCCAATGTCCCTTTACATCGAGCTTGTTTCTTGATAAGCCTGCACCAATATAACGGTACCTCTTCAACCCACTGGAGGGTGCCTGATCAGCTCTGAAAATCTAGTGCCCTTTAAGCAGAATACTATATTGATCTTTCCTTACTACTGCGCAAACCATTGCATTTCTACGTTTGTTGTGGCCGCCGGCGGGAACATATCTGGGAATTCCCCTGGACTCTTCATCGGAATGTCGGGATTGACTTGAAGCCATTCGTGGAACTCGAGTTTGGAGTCCTTGGCGAATTCATTGCCTCCCCTTTCATTCCCTCTTTCCCCAAGACAAACGATGTGTGCCATCCTGCCTCCCCTTTCCCCCCCCAGCCAGTCTACGCATAAGTTACTGATTTCTTTTGTAATGTCTGCTTTCTGTGTCAAATGTGTTATCTTTTCCTGCACTTTTTTCAATTGCACTCTTATTTCAGTCTCTATGAAATGTTTGACTATTTCTGCCGCTTCTCGTTCCCCCATCCCGGCCCCTTCCTGATCAAACACACATCTTCTTGTCCACAACGTCCATATCACTGCCTTCCTGGCCGTGACAAACAGATTGTTGGTGAAGCTGGAAGCTAGCGTGTGATACGCAACCTCACGCCCCCTCGCGGCTTCCCGTACGGGGTCGCCGATCAGAGTTCTAGGAGGGGCGTGGCCGAGGATTTTTGGCCGTAAGGGTTGAGTCTCCCAGACGGAACGGGAGGCCCTCGTTTTGTGGCAGAGGTTTTCCCCCGGAGTCGAACTGTCGTCGCGGAGTCTCGTGGGGGTCGGATCACTCCGAAGCGATAAAATCAAAAAAAGGTTTCCGCAAAAATGAACTGCCGTCATGCATCGGGACGGAAAAAGGCATCAAGGGGAGAGGGCCATGGCGGCGGAGGACAAAACTTCGGCCGTCAGGGGTTTGGGGGATAGGTGGCGGGTTCGAAGCCTTCAGGCCTCATCATCGGCCTCACAAAGTGGCCGAACCCTCGGGTCTTTGCTGTGGAGGTGGTTGGTTCGAGGCCTTCAAGCCTCGGCGTCGGACTCACAGAGTCCGCGCGAAAGTTTTCGGGAGGGTAAAGCGGCGGGAGGACTCGGTGACATCTGAATTCGAAATTGAGCGGGCAGCGCCTCCGCACTACGGGAAAGCTCAGGGAAACGTGCCGCTCCCTCTTAACCCAGGACCAGCCGTCGCCAAGAACACGAGTCCCCCTGGCGACACCAGCGACAATCAAACTGCGGCCGCCACACGGCGTGAGCGGCCGACCAGGGCAACACCGTCAAACCCGTATAAGGCAATACTAGAGTCGGGGAATCAAAACGATCGATCAAAACAAACCCGTTCCCCCTTATCTCACAGGCCCGAGGCGGGTCTTGCTAACACACTTGCTCCGTCCGCCTCAGCGCGCGCCGTACGTGCGCATCGCAATAGACGCTGTCGTCATCTGCGATGGGAAGGTCGGTAGCGAGATGAGACGATCGGAGGTAAGTGATGAACACGGGCAAGGTCCCGCGTTCCCAGTCATCCGAACCAACACCGAATCCATACAACAATCGTCGCAACTCTTCTTTCTCTAAGGTGGGTGCGTCGAGGGAAGACGACAAAGTCTAAGCTCTCTCCCCTTGCAGGGGCGTCGACCGTCCGCGCGGATGCAAGCGGTTGACGTCACCGGTACGGGGGCGAGAAGCTCAAAAAGCGATGACTATCAGTTCAAAAAGGAAAGCAATCGAGAGGGAGAGAGAGAGAGAGTGAGTTACGCCGAGACCGCGCATGAGCGCAGGAAAGACCACTGAGGGGAGGGGAACAACCGGATCAACACACTCGTACTCCTAAGCAGACGGTCCCCCAGTTCAGTTTCCCCATCCCTGCCCGGACGAGTACATACACACATACATGCATGCAATCAACAAACTTTGACAGGACATCTAATCATCCATGGACCTTCGACATCACTCGTGCGCACCACCAGCTCCCATCACTCGGGGCTTCACATACACGACATGCATAGACAAAGCAGCAATGGAGATAAAAGCGAGTCCTTCTTGTGCACAAAAAAATCAATTAACTGCCGCCCCCAGGCGCAGCCTTCAAAACTCCCCAAGACCACCGACCACCATAGCCACAAGGCCCTGCCGCGGCCGGCGTCCAATCCCCACCACTGCTCAGTCCCTCCGACTGCTTCGCCCCGAGACTACCGTGGGTCCACCCCACGTCGTCACTCCGCCCGTCCTTGGGCTCGTCGAGCCTGTTCGGCGCCGCGGACTTTCGCGCATAGCTCGCGCAGCATTGCAACCGAGATCAAAGAGGAGGAGAGGAGAGGGTTGCACGAATTTATAGCGCGGGAGGCGGCGGGTTGTCAGCGCGAGGTGCGGGCAGCGCAGGTTGTAGATGAGCAGGACAGGAGGAAGGTGGSGAGTTAGAGGGTTSGACCCGCGGGATGGCATGGTCCTACGTGATTGGGGTGTCCGTTCAAGTGGCGCGCGGTTTCCCGCTCTCCACATTGATCCGAGCATCCCAACTATGCGGCCAATCATTTCGCGGGGTAAGGATCGAGCTGGGCGGAGGGGAAGACGAAGAGTCCGACATGGGGAAAATGCGCGCAGCAAGAAGGGAAGATGGCGCGGGGATGCAAAGCAAGAAACGGGGATGCGAGACGCGCGAAGGAATCGGAGCTTAGGCGTGCGCGCGCAAAAATTCAAAAAGTCCCAACCGCCCCCGTTTCTTGGTTTTCATACCGCGGCCGCTATTCGCCCGTGCAGGAGTTATTAACCAAACAAAATAAAAAAGCCGTTTCGAAAAGAAAACGCGAGACAAAAAGAAAGAAAAACCCCTGTTTGTCCGCGTCCGTGCCTCGGGGCTTCCGAGGGATTTTTCCTCAGGGATATTGGAAGCCGCGCGGTACGGGTCTGAGCTTATTACAAGCGGCCTTCCCCATTCTCCTAGTAGGATTGTTTCCCATTTCCATGGCCACTCCTCCTCAGTATCCAGTTGGGACCAAATGCGGTCTCACCAACGCCACATTAGTACCGCTCTTGGGCACTGGAGGAAAATGTGTTCTATTGTTTCACATACTTTGCGGCTCGGGAATCCTGCATAGCAAAGTTTACTCTATACAACAGCCTCCTCTTTCTGTTCCAGATTGGTTCTGTCAATGATCCAGTTGTTGGTGGGGAGGCATCTATGAGTAATCTACCACTGCAGGGCGACGAATTTTGCCGGTCTCTCCTTTACTCCTTTAAACCACTTTATTCCTTTTATCTGGTCATCGCCCAGGTTTAATCGTCTCTTCCATCTCTCGCTTACCACTGTTTGCACATCTACCTTGGGTCTGATCATCCTGTAAGTGTTCTTTACCGTCAACCCAACGAGTTTTTCTTTTTGCCTGGTCCGGCCTCTCTCCCATTGCCATTCAAGCTGGTCCAGGGCTAAAGTGGACAGGGGAACTTCCGGATGATAAGCTTGCCATTCTGTTTTACCTCTCTTGTGTATCTGCAACACCTGGATCCGATATAGGTTGGCTTTCTCGTGCCACTGGACTCAGTCTGGGCGGTACCTCACTAGGGTGTAAATCCTTCTTCTTTCAAATAGATTCACCATAGCGCCTTCAGTTCTCACCTCCACGACGCACC